GAAAGCAAGTCTAATGCCAAAGCCCACAGTTTATATACCACTCAGCCAGACCGCATCTGTAATAATATTGTTCATGAATTAATGTTTAACCTTTGATCATCAAAAGAAATTAGAAAATACCCAGCAAAAAATACAGGGATAATCCTTTTTCGAGAGATTTAAGTGAAAAAAGTTAAAACCTTTATAGTTTTGAAAGAAGTAACCTATATACAAAACACTGAAGTCATTAATGGAATGTGAAGTATTAATCTATTGTGGCCCTACTGCGAAGGTCCAAGTTTTTGTCTCTTTGGGAAATTGTACCCTGATTTATTTGGTAAAATGACATATGGTAAAATTTCATAATATTTCAGGTTTCCGCTTTTAATGCCAGTTACTCGGATTCTGGACTCTTTGGGATTTATACCATCTCACAGGCTGCTGCAGCTGGAGATGTAAGTTGCAGACTCCCCAACTCTCACTTTTTTTTCTCCTCCATTAACATGTTTTTAGTAAAAATAGGAAGTGTTTGAATGCCATGACTTACCAGAGCTGCATATAGTATAGTACTGTTGCAGTGTCTCTGCAGTGGAAGGAACCTAAAAATGTATACTCATGTTTCCAGGAAAGAGGGAAGAAATGCTTCCTTCTTGGCTCTGTTTAGACAAATGACTTTGAGTTGTCTCTAGGACATCTATATTGAGAACTCAATACAAGTGAGTTCAAGGCCAAGATGTATATTTGGGAGTCCTCAGTGTAGAGGTTGTATTGAAGTCAGGGTTGTGTGTAAAAGACTGTAGGAAAAGAAACTTGAAGCTCAAGTTCAGGGAAGCACCACCAAGTAACTAAGGAAAATGGCCAAGAAAACAGGAAGAAAAAGAAGAGAAACTGGTATTTTTAGAGGCCAGGAAATCGAGAGAATGATTAATATAATTTTGACCCACTCTGGGTTAATACCCATTTAGTTACCACAGAGAGCTCTGGTAGTTACAACAAACTAGAACATCATTTAGTAATATTATCAGTTTTGACCAGAGTGTTGGAAGTGAACTAAAATTTTTAGTGTTAAAGAATAAATGAGAGGCATGGGCAAATGGAGCTCAGACTTGCAAGGAAATAGGTGGTAGTTTTGGGAGAGTTTACATACTGAAAGGAAAGAAAAACTGGAGCAGATATAGGAGATAGAAAATTATAAATGGATCAGGTCTGAAAAAAGCAGAAGCAGATGGGATGCAGAGTACAAGTGGATATTTTAACTTTGGACACAGGCTGATGTTGGGAGAAGAGGATGTTGAAAAGATGCAGAAGTTCATCCCTGATGAGGTAGGAGGCAAAGTCATGTGTTAAGAGTAAGAGAATGGAGGGGGCGCCTGGGACGCTCAGTCATTTAAGTGTCCAACTTGGGCTGAAGTCATGATCTCATGGTTCATGAGTTCAAGCCCCATGTCTCTCGGCACAGAGCCCACTTTGGATCCTCTGCCCTCCCCCCTTCCACCTCTCTTCTGCTTGCTCTCTCTCTCAAAAATAAACATTAAAAAAAATTAGAAGAAAAGTAAGAAAGGAAGAAGAGTTTAAAGAAAGGGAGGAGAGATTGGGACAAATGAATAGCTAGATACACAGAATGGGCATCGATGGTTGTGTAGATGGCTCCTTGAGATGAAAGACCAGAAATTCATGCTACAGTCATGCATTTCCCTTATTACACATACAGTCACTTCATAATCTTTCTTCAATAGTATTCCTAATGGAGAAATGGAGAAGGCAGGTAGTAGGGTTGATCCAAGGTTGGGAGCCTGCAAAGGAGGCAAGTCAGAAGTCTGGGCAGATGGCAAGAGAGTGGCGCACACTGGCCAGAGTGGCTGTGACAGAAAAGTGAAGCCAAAGGACCTCACGGATTGAAAGTGGACAAATCAGACCTAGAGATCTTGATAAAGTGGAAGAGAAGGATAGTATGATTAAAGGCTTAGGCGAGGGGACTTGTAACTGAGGATTTCATAGGGCAAATCTAGGTCATGTCCACTGCTGGGTGTAGCTGTAGAAGTGGATAGCTAAAATGTAGGGGAAATGGAGATCCTAGAATTTAGGTGATATGGGGTAAGTCAGTAACCCAGAACGGTGTCAAGGTTAGGATGGAGAAAATCATGGGCCAGGTTTATGAATTTATCGAACACATACGTGCCAAACATGACCTGGCACCAGAACACTGGAACTTGATTCTTTTTTGACTCCAGCATCCCAGGCATGCACAGGCTTTACAGATCGGCTGTGCATGGATTACTACTTTCTTCTTAGGAAGTAGTAAGGGATAGCAGTATTAATTGCATGATGCTTTCGTAAGAGTCTAGAGAAATTTGAAAGGGGTTTTTTCTTTACAGGCAATTATAAATCCTTAGGTTTCCTTTTCCTAAACTACACGAGCATCCTTTGCACTTGGCCACTTTTCTAAGAAGGTTGGCTACTTGGCTCTACTGTAGCTGCTCTCTGGAACACTGGAAGCATAAGGACCACAAGGTGACAAGTCCAAATGGACACTGTGCTAGTTCCCTGCGACTGACGTTTCGTCTCGTGTTTTTGCCTCAGTAGAGGAGCATTTGACTGCTTCAAGATGCTTTGGCACTGATCAGAAGTGACCAGCTTTTTCTCCTCTGTCACAGGTTATCAAGGCTGCCTATAACCAAGTAAAAACAATTGCTCAAGGAAACCTTTCCAATACAGATGTCCAAGCTGCCAAGTAAGTTTCAGTATTAAATGTGTGTTTTGTGTTTCAGTTATTTGAAAGTTGTATTTTTTGAGATAACAATATTGTAACCTGCACAAAAGAATTGAAAGGTAAAGTATTTAAAAGGGAAACACACCCACATCTACCACCCAGAGATGTAATTGTTGTTAACGTTTTGCTTATTTTCTTGCCCATTTTTATACATTTTTAAACATTATTGTTGTATATATGCTTACATAATAGCAGGTTTATTGTAGAACTTTGAAAATAAACACAAAGAAGCTGGAAACAATCTCATTCTTTACCAATGATTCCTCTTTTTATTAATATTATAAGGTTTCCATTTATTCAGATTACTAAAAATGTGTTACAGACAGTAGTATTAACTGGGGTATCAAAATATACTTGTTGGACATTTCCTACAGTTGGAAATTATAAACTATAAAAGATATCTTTGACCTTAAAACATTTTTGTATTTCATATTACTTTCTTGGTATAGATTCCCAACTAGGTCGAGAGCTAAAAATATTATAACAAAAGTCTGTGTTAAAGTGTACCTCTGTGTATTTTGAAGTCACAGTGTAAAGAGGCATGCCAGTTTATAATCACATCACCAGTATATGAGAGTGCCTATTCTGCCATAACCATTGGCAGATTGTGTTTTTTTTTTTTTTTTTTACCTTTTGCTGATTTGATAGACCAAAAAATACAATAGTGCTCCCTTATCCATGGTTCCACTTTCCACAGTTACCTGCAGTCAGGCGCCATCTGGAACCAGATAATCCTCCTCCTGACTTATTGTCAGAAGGTCACTAGCAGCCAAACACTATGTCACACTACCTATGGCACTCAGCTCACTTTACCTCCTCACATAGGCATTTTATCACCTCCCATCATCACAAGAAAGGAGAGTACAGGACAATAAGATATTTTTAAATGAGAGAGACAGACCATATTCATATAACTTTTATTACAGCATATTGCTATATTATTCTGTTTTATTAGTAGTTGTTGTTAATCTCGCATTGTGCCCGATATGTAAATTAAGGGGCACCTGAGTGGCTCATTTGGTTAAGTGGATGACTCTTGGTTTTGGCTCAGGTCTTGATTTCATAGTTTGTGAGTTTGAGCCCCGCATCTGGCTCCACACTGATAGCATGAAGCCTGCTTGGGATTCTCTATCATCTTCTCTCTTTGCCCCTCCTCCACTTACACTCTCTCTCTCAAAATAAACTTTAAAAAAAAAAAAACCTTTAAAAAAATAACAAATATAGGTATGTATGTATAAGAAAAGTGTAGTAGGGGCACCTGGGTGGCTCAGTCAGTTAAGTGTCGGACTTCGGCTCAGGTCATGATCTCGCGGTTCGTGGGTTCAAGCCCTGTGTTGGGCTCTGTGCTGACAGCTAAGTCAGAGCCTGGAGCCTGCTTCAGATTCTGTGTCTCCCTCTCTCTCTGACCCTCCCCTGCTCACACTGTCTCTTTCTCAAAATAAATAAATAAAACATTAAAAAAAGAAAAGCATAGTATATATAGGGTTTGGTACTATGGTTTTAGGCATCCACTGGGGGTCATGGAAGGTATCCCCCACGGACAAAGGAGGATCTGATTAAAAGATTGAAATACCTGTCTCCTATTTGGTGATTTTTAAATTCCCACTGAAAGTACCAGCAGCATCCCTCATTGAGTACTTTGAGGAGTTTCTCGAACGAATCAGCTTGTATTTTCTTTTCTTCTTTTTTTTTTAAGATTTTTTTTTTTTTTTTTTTTTTTAATTTTTTGAGAGAGAGACAGCACAAGCAGGAGAGGGGCAGAGAGAGGGAGAGACAAAAAATCCAAAGCAACCTCCAGGCTCTGAGCTGTTAGCACAGAGCCTGACATGGGGATTGATCACAAGTTGTGAGATCATGACCTGAGCTGAAGTCAGACACTCAACTGACTGAGCCACCCAGGTGCCCCTCATCAGCAGTTTAAAACATTTAAATTTTATTCCATCCATTTAGGACAGTTCAAAATGGGACACGTGAAACTCAAACTGTCTTCAGGATCATTCAGTATGGCCCACAAAGGAAGTATGACAGGGCAAATTACAACCCAGGAGGGAACAACTTTTTGGTCATTTCTGTTCCCGTTAGTATTATTACTTCTGTTACACTGAAAACACTAGAAAGTTGCATCTCGTGAATAAATACAGTACAGTTTATTAAATATTACAAACATGGAACCAGGGATTGATTGATAGGATATAATTCTACATGATTGCACCAGAAACAAACATGATGAGAATAAACTGAAACACTGGACTTACTGAAGAAAAATCGGTTTCAAATTCTAATTTATTTGAGAAAATGTATTTCCTTAAGCGCAGCCCAGTTGTTTATTTTCTGCCATTTTAATGGAGTTGATACTTTTTCTTGTAAGGTTCTTAGTCTTCCTGTAGTGAAAGAGAGAAAGTAAGGCATTGCTGAAGGGACAAACTGATAACCTCTTGATAAAGTTTATTGTAGGTAGTTTTTTTTTTTAAGTTTTTATTTAAACTCCATTTTAAATAAACTATCAGTTTGTTAAAGTCTTTTTTCTTTTTTAAATTTTTAAAATGTTTATTTTTGAGAGACAAGAGCATGAGTCAGAGGGAGACACAGAAGCTGAAGCAGGCTCCAGTCCCTGAGCTGTCAGCACAGAGCCTGACGCGGGGCTCGAACCCATAAACCGTGAGATCGTGATCTGAGCCAAATGTTGGACACTTAACCGACTGAGTCACCCAGGCGCCCCTGTTAAAATCTCTTTTTAACTAAGCTGACAATGTGGTAAAATTGCTGCATTAAATTGTAATTACATTTAAGTGGTAGTCAGCTACACAGTGCCAAAGGAGGATAGTTCGAGAGTTAAATTGTCTTATTGAACACCAGTTTCTTTGAGAGAATTACAAATTGGATTTTGTTTAATTTGTACTGATGTTTTGTGCCCATATTTCAACTATAAGGACCTTTCTCACCTGCCTTCTCAATCATGCCCTACCCTCACTGAGACAAATCTCAGTGTAGAAATGGTCCTAGGGGGTAGAGGGTAGAGGTAGATAGAGAATCAGCACACAATATTCTGCTAAGCGGACAGTGCCTTAAGACTCCACATAGATCTTCTCCTTTATTAGAAATGCCTAAAATCATCACCAGAAAAGTATTAGGAGGCAAGAATTACGTCACTAATCAAAACTTCATAATAAAATTAGTTTTGGGGCCTGGGTGGTTCAGTCAGTTAAGTATGTGACTTCGGCTCAGGTCATGATCTTGCGGTTCATGAGTTCAAGCCCCGCAACGAGCTCTGCACTGACCTTGCAGAACCTGCTTGGGATTCTCTCCCTCTCTCTCTGCTCCTCCCCCACTTGCACTCTCTTCTCCCTCAAAATAAATAAACTTTTAAAAATAAATAAAACAGTCTTAATGAGGGGCACCTGGCTGGCTCACTAGGTGGAGCCTGCGACTCTAGATCTCAGGGTTGTGAGTTTGAGCTCCACATTGGTCATGGAGTCTACTTTAAAATATAGTCTTAATGATGGGGTGCCTGCGTGGCTCAGTCGGTTAAGTGTCCGACTTCGGCTCAGGTCATGATCTCACAGTTTGTGGGTTCAAGCCCCGCGTCTGGCTCTGTGCTGACAGCTAGCTCAGAGCCTGGAGCCTGCTTCAGATTCTGTATCTCCCTTTCTCTCTGACCCTCCCCTGCTGACACTGTCTCTCTCTCTCTCTCTCTCTTTCTCTCTTTCTTTCTCTCTCTCTTCAGAAATAAAAACATTAAAATTTTTTTTAATTAAAAATAAAATGTAGTCTTAATGAGATATAAGTTCTAGTCTAAAATCAAAAGGCAGTCAGTTGGGTTTTCAGCATAGTCTTGTATTGACAACTTTCTAAATAATAATGTGAATAAAAACATAATTGATGAACTGAAGAAATAGAATGCAGCCCTTTTTTTAAGATTTCAAGCTGTTAATTTGTGTACTTAACATGTTTGAGTTTGAGAACATACTATAAAATTGTCTTGCTCTTATAAGACTGGCTTCTGCCTTAGTTACATACCTTTTACTGGACAGGAACAAGCTGAAAGCTGGCTACCTAATGTCAGTGGAGTCTTCTGAGGGGTTCCTGGATGAAGTCGGGTCCCAGGCTCTGGTTGCTGGTTCATACACACCGCCAGCCACAGTCCTTCAGCAGATCGACTCCGTAGCAGACGCGGATGTTGTGAACGTAAGCAAATAAAAACTTACAATTTAACATCAAATAATATGACCTTGATGATCCAATTTCAGAAGGAATGCATAAGTTCCCTTGGGCTGTATATGTCACTGTCCTGCTGTTTGTCACCTGTCTACCTGGTGTGGAGGTAGGAGGTCCCGTTACGATCACATCTGTAAATGGCTTCCTTATCAACTCAGGGTGTACCTATCTTCCTCATTCAACTAAATTACCTATAGGTTAAACCATTTTAAATTCTTAGAGGTCAAGAAGACTTGAATATTGGTAATTTCCTGTGATTCAATCTAATAGCTGAGTTTTGGTGTTTTTTCCTCCTCCCAAGATATAAACTGTAAGTCCCACACAATCCAGGATCTCAGGATTTTTGCTCTTCTTCTCAGCGGGAGACATTATACTATCGCTGTAATTTTTTTCCCCCACATATATTATTGTGAGACTGAGTTGTTTTGGAAGGCCAGGACCACATCTTCTACCTTTTTGTATTCTCTACTATCCCTAACAAATATATAAACTACAGAATAAATCCAAAATCAGTGGGTTTTCCTAGTTCTTTCCACATGAAAAGTGTTGACGACTCTTGCTTTGTAGAGGTCTCAACCATCTTCTCCCCAACAGCTTCACCTTAATGTAGGGACAATGAAGATAGAAAAAAAAGAAACAGGGTATTTTAAGTTAGTGACCTTGACTTGATTTCACTTGTCCCCTAAGTTCATCAATCCATACCCTTCCAAATGGCTCTCCTCCTTTAGTATACTGTTGTTGTGAGAGTCCCAGCCCAGCTGCCTCTTCGCCATTTCCCTGTGCCTGAGACAGCGTGGGGACTGCTACTCACAGTAGTACCTCTAACCTCAATAGCCAGCCTTTGTGCTTGAAATAGTGGCATAAAGGAAACAGGGATATAAAGTTTGACTTTTATGTTGACGGTGTATTTTTATCAACTCACAGACTATTTGCCATCGTAATATAGAAACAGTAAAGTACTGCCCTGCCTGAGGCCGACTCTGCCCTATTTTGTAATGAGAGTGAGGTTTTCCCTACCCCTTTTTACCAGCTACCCTCCTGTCTGGAGCACCACAATTCTCAGTCACACGTATGAGCAACCATTCAAAGGGACAGCTGAGCTTTTTTTCCTACGTTGTCACATATTGAAGTAATGCACCAGCCCACTCCTGTAGTTAGTCTCGTAAGAGGCTAGTACAGAATTGCTGGCTCAGGATGCCCTGTCTGTCAACTCTTGAAATAACAAAACAGGTAAGTTTATCTACTGGATAATACATTTTCTTACTTGTTAATTTTTCCTGTTGTTTGTTTACTTCAAGGCTGCAAAGAAGTTTGTTTCTGGCCGGAAGTCGATGGCAGCAAGTGGAAATCTGGGGCATACACCTTTCGTTGATGAGTTGTAAATTCTGAACAGGGAAGAGCTGAACGTTTTCTCAGCATAGAGCAGCAAACACATGAAAGTCAAAAATCTCTAATAAAACGTTTTATCTTTTTTTTTTTCAATGAGGTAAAATGTCTTAAAGCATAAATACATAAATTGTTCTCAGCTGACTTAAAGTCAATAAAACATTCTGTTGAAATGTTTTTCTCACGTCTTTGCCATCAGCTAATCAACTATGTATTATATGCTGAGATCTTTGTTTTAGATACTGCAAAGGAGAACAGGAATCTAAGAGTACAGAAGCATCAGAAAATATTAAGATTATTATTGGTGGGCTTTAAAGATAAAACCAGTTTAAAAAATCTGTTCTTTGGGGTCAGAACAATTAAATGGTGAGTTTTACCCCCTTTCTTTACTGCCTTTCTTGCAGTATAGTTATTTCTGAAAAATCTAAATCCCTATTAATCATATCCTTTTTTTTTTTTTTTAAATATTTTTATTTATTTCTAGGAGAGAGAGAGAGAGACAGCGTGAGCAGGGGAGGGTCAGAGAGAGAGGGAGTCACAGACTGAAACAGGCTCCAGGCTCTGAGCTGGCAGTCAGCACAGAGCCCGACGCGGGGCTCGAACCCATGAACCGCAAGATCATGACCTAAGCGAAAGTCGGACGCTTAACCGACTAAGCCACCCAGGTGCCCCCCCTATTAATCATATCCTATATTCCCACTGCCTCATGTTATATCTGATTTATCTTCACTGTGTGACAGAATTCTGTTTCTCATCTTCTCCCTCTCCCTCATCTGTTCCCATTCTGTTTCTTAGGGCTGAAAGGGGGGTTAGGGGAGGAATTTTTATGTGCACAACTAGCCAGAAAATACATCTCTTATTTACTTTAAGTAGGGCATTTGAAGTTTGCAAAACAAACGAAGCTAACTATCTAAATAAAAATTAGTACTTACCTTAAAAAGTGAAATTCTCTATGTTTGTACATTCTGATCTTGGGTTCCTCTGCTGCATGTTGTAAAAGATGAGACATTCTTCTCAGAAGGAAGTGTGTTTATGATGTGAATGATGTTGCCATTTTGAGAATAAGGTAGTAAGGCCTGTCAGACCCCAGGGAAGTCTTTGGACATCACATTGAAGGTCTCTGAAGGCATCAAAATGCACTTGTGAAAGAATTGGTAAGTCTGCACGTATTCCTCCTGTAAGTTTAGCAGACCTGTACATAGCAACGAATGCACAAAAATTAGATGTTTTCAAGATAGATGCCCATGTGATCACCAGTTTGCAGACTGCTGCCTAAGCAACTTTTGATACAGGTTGATCCTTGCCCTTTTCAACATGGGCAAAGTCTTCCAGCCAAAATGCGTCTGAGGTAGAGGAGGCCGTGGAGCTGGAGGAGCTTTTGTTGTCTCGCTTCACCATCGTCCAGTACGGAGAAGGAGGCCTCACTTCTCTCTTGTGATCTCTGTGAATCACCACGTCAGCGTTAATGTCTTTTCCTACGCTGATAGTATGGTTCTTCTTTTTATAGCCATGCCACTCTCTGGAGATAGACATTGGTCTCCTTGCAGAGTGATGCCCAGTGGACCTTGAATATTTATAATAATTGAATGTATCTGAAACTACATCTTCATTGTCATCACTGCTTGTGAAAGAGTCATCTTTTGCCTGCTTAGTTTTCTCTGTTGCGCTGAAATGAAAAAAATAATAATAAAGAAATGGATGCTTAATATCTGCACATTCTTTATTCCCTAAGAAGATGTCTTGTAACCTGCTTTGGTTCATAAAAGAAAGGATATAATTTAGCTTTAGCACTTGTGTGTTATTGAAGTCTTTCTCTCTAAAAGTGTCTTTAAATTTGTTGCTGCTCCTAAACGTAAATCAAATTCTGCCTTAAATTATTTCACATTGCTTTAAAAAGTTAGAAAATGACATAAGCCAGATTACTGACCAGAATATTAGCAGGTCTCAAAGTGTGGGTTAATTTCACTCCAGAATGACAGGTCAACCTGGCCATCTTCTTCACAGAACTCTTCTCGTGGGTCACATGGGGTCAGTAATTACAGGGTCTTACCGATTTCCAGGGTATTTGGGAACTAGTGGGCCTCTACACTAGTCATCAGGAAATCTTTGAGTCTTCTTTTTCCTCCTGAGAACCATCATTTGCCTCTCTTTTGGGTTTACAAATGTGGATTTATATACCACACTCTAAACCTAGGTGTGTGTCATTCACTATTCTACTTCTCTGTTGCTGTCCAAAGGCTTAAAGATTGTTTTGTTACTTGCCCTAATAATTGGCTTTCTTGAGAGCTTGTTTGGAGGTTTTGACAGAGGAAAGCAGCTACTCATGTATGCTTGACTGAAGAATGATCGTCTTCAACTGAGCATGCAGCTCTAGAAGGGATGCATGTGGAGCGGTGAGGGAGGAAGGGGACACCTGGCAATCAATGGGGTGACATGTTGCATCCAGATCACCCTCACATCCCCAACTTAGCTTTCCTGATTGTTGAAACTTGGCCAATGCTTGCCTGCTAGCATCTACAGTTCTCTTGAACTTTTCTAATGTCTGCATACCTATGCTTGCTATTACTTTCCTGAACAAATGCTGTCTGTTACCTGCTGCCCCTCATCCTGGTACTATTGCCCAGCAGATCCAGAACTAGATCTTTGTGATTATACACCTCTGGTACATCTGTCCTGCTAAAAGGAAATAGGAAGTTGTTTTCTTTGCTACTTCCCAATCTTTTAGACTTGCTTGCACGATCACTAATATTCTTGTAGGTGTGACTGTTGTATTTACTCCCAAAACTCTGAATGGTTTTTCCTAAAGTTTCTCTCTTATAATAAACAATTTAGTAACTGAGTCATTTTTATTGAGAGCCACTGGTCTTATTGAGTGATTTTCCTCCTTCCTTGATTTAGTGCTGTGCAAGGAGGTTCAGATCTCAGGACTGGAACAGTTTGTTTCAGACATGCCTAGGACTTCCTTAACAGCACATGAATGAAAAAAAACATCCAGGTTACTTCTTTTTTTTTTTCAGACTGCAAAAAATATCCTTTGTAACTCTGTATTAGGTAACTGTAAAGGACAGGTAGTAGGGCCAGGGTCTTATTAAACTGAAGTAAGATTATAAAGCCACAAGCAAGCAGAGGTCAGAGTTAGTTAGAAACCATTTTCAGTCACTGGGCCTGCCCAGGGCATTATGTGGAATATTTTCCAATGGGCACACAGTACCATCTGCTCCTGAAAAAGGTCATACCAGCTTTGTGTAAGAAGCCTTTTCTTTCCCTTTGTACTCCTTCACTGTCCCTTTCCACATAAATTACTAAAGCGCCTTAGATACAAGCCCTTTGTTTCAAGTTAAGCAAGAGATTTAGAAAGTGGTTGCTATTGTTCTTAAGTCCTGTGGGCTTTACTCTCATACTTGAGTTGTGCTATTTCTGTGTTTCTGTGCTGCTTCTTTGCTTTTGAACAGTCTGTCATTCTTAGATTTTGATATTCTGTATCTCAGACTCTGAACAATTAAAATGCTTAGAAACATAGTCGTTCTATAAGCAAATAATTAAGAACTCAGGCTTGAGAGCTGCACTCCCCTAAACAGGGTCCACCAGCTAGGTGTGGCTGCTAAATTTGAACTGATGAAACTCAAATAAAACTTAAAATTCCGCACTTGCAAATCCTCACATCTGAGGTGCTTGATAGCCGCATGCAGCCATTGGCTACCCCGTGGGACAAAACAGATAAAGAACGTTTACACCACTGCAGTACGTTCTTTTTAGACATTGCTGCTCTTAAGACAGATCTACTCACACGTAGTGCTGTGACAACTGGAAAGTTTACATACACCTTTCTTGGCTTCAGTTTTCTTATATAATCATGATAATAAAAAGAACTGGCCTGAGGAGTAAATGGCATAATACTTGTAAAGCAGTGTCTACCACATAGTAAGCAATGAGTAAGTGTTCACTGTTATCATTAATGATTCTTAACTAAATCATGATTGGTTTGGTTATTGAGGGGAAAACTTGTCCCTAACCTGTGCCTGATCTAAGGGGACAGCTGGTACCCAGCTCTGGTCCACTGTCACCATGTGAGGACACAAGCCCATCTGATTTTTCAGGAGAAACCAGACCAGAGCTGCGTACCAGCCTATCTTCTGATTTTTCAGGAGAAACCAGAGATGCAGATAATTTCCATGAAACCTTAGATGTGTAAGTTTGGCAACTAATTCAAATATTTTTCATTTAAAAATTTTGAAATATATAGAAAAATGAAAACAGATTTAATAAAAAAAATTATAAACACTTTGCTAGCCCCTGGAAAAGCCCCTCTGTGTCTTCCCTTCTCTCTACAGGTCACTGCTATTGTAGCTTTTTAAAATGCTGTGGGAGGCTAGCAAAGCACATCTGTTGGCCATATCAGTCCCTTGGACCAAAAGTTGGAATGTCTGAAGTAATGTCTTTGCAGTGTGGGCCATTTTTTAGTCCTTAGTAAAGTTCCTAGCCGGATTTCCCTGAGCCCATCCCAATAACCAAAGATACACAGCTCTAGCAACTAGTGCTCAGAAACCCTGTCAAATTAATAAGGACCACTCTTGCATCAGAGCACTGAACTTGTCACTGGAGAAGGACCTAATGTCCTACATGTCCTCATGTTCTACAGAACTTCCTCATGTATCTGATCCTCAGAAGAGTCTTGATACTCATTTGTAACAGATAAACAAGCTCTCAGAGATTAAGTGATTTGCCTGAGCTTCAAAGCTGGATTTTCATTTTCATTCATTGAATAAATGAGCTGTCAGCCACTTGAAAGTCTTGTGGTTGATTTAGCCTAACAATGCAGACTTAGTCCTTGCCTTCAGTTTATGTTCTCCCATGGCAACATAGTAAACAGTAGACTGTACAGATTGCTTCATTGAAATTAGGATATTGCTGTGAAGGAGATACACAGGTTGCTCTAAAAGCATATGCCAGATGGACGAGACAGTGTTTTAATGCTTCCTAACTTAGAAAGGCCCCTTGCAAAAAGTTTGCACTGTGAGCCTTCAATGGTGAGTAATGACAGAGTCCTAAGCATGTTGCACACAGAGAAGAGGAAGTGCAAAGCCCAAGGCAAAGAGAAACAGAAGGCAAAAAAGCTGAAAGGCAGAGTGGACTAGAGCGGGAAGGGGAGAGCAGTATGAGGGGAGGCTGCGGGATACAGACCCCAGCCAATGCGGTAGCACAGACCAGTGTAAGGGTTTGTGCATTTATCCTGAGAACAGAAGGTCTGCAAAGATTTTAAGCATGAACATGTCACACTCAAATTTCACTATAAAAGAATTGTTCTGTATAGCAAATGAATAGGGGACAAGAGTAGATTGTGGCCCTGACTAGGGTGATGATAGTGGCCAGAGAGAAATGGACAAATGTGAGAGGTAATTGGAAGGTAAAGTGGCAAGTTTCTTGGGCAGAAACAAGGGAGATGGAGAAAGCTGGCCTAGCCCCTAAATTTCTGACTTGTTCAACTCGTCAAATGCTCCGCCAGTAAGATAGGACCACTCCAAGGAGATCAGCAGTTAGCTGGCTCTTGACTTTTAGGCATAATGAGTGTGAGGGGTTTGTGATACATCCAAATGGAGCTACCAGGTGGGAGAGTAAATGTTGTAAAGATACAGGTTTGAAGATCGTACAATTTGAAAATCACTCCTGTAGGGAGAGTGACAGAAACTACAGATCAGTGAGCATGCCCAGGAGACTGAGAGAAGGAAGCCAAAGATGTGGCGCTGGGGGATTCCAAGACAGAAGCCTGGGGAAGATGTTTCAACAGGAGAGGGGGTGGGGGTTGGACAGGGTCAAATGTTGCTCAGAAGCTGCACACAATGACGACTTGAGAAGAGTCTACTGGAATGGGCAACTGGAATGGGGGGCGGGGGGGGGTGCAGGGAGAGGGCAACACAGTCAAGGCGGGGTTCATGAAGATGGCAGAGGCTTAAAGCCTTACATGTTACTGAGAAGGATCCAGAGAAAAGCTGATTGTGCAAAAGACAAATGAGGGAATGGGATCCACAGCACATGTTTAAGGCTGACTCTGGACAAAGGGACATGTTGCAGGTAGATTTGGAGGCCAAGTTCCCACTGGATGGTTCTCTTGTTTTAGCTCCAGGCTCAAGGCTCTTGCCTCTCTCAATCTGCCACACATTAGGTACTGCAGATTGTACTTCTCCAGAAGGATTTAAAACCCACTAAATTACTGTGGCGGTTTCACCAATACCACGTGCTTCGCATGCCCCGGGGAACTGTGGCACAACAAAGTTTTCCTAAAATGAATGACTTACCATGTTACTGGGAATTTGGTCTCAGGGATTAAATCGTATATTTCTTGCCATTCTTGGGGTATGTCAATAAAATCTCGGTAAATCTTGATTTGTAGCACTGTTCCTATGGTGATGTGTTGCAAAAGTTTTAAAAATTCTCGAAGAGTATATCCTAACACATTGGCATGGCCAACACTAATCAGAACATCACCTGAAGAGGGAAAAAATTATCAGTAAAATTAAAATAATGCGTCAGTGGGCTCATATCACTTCTGGTTTTACTGTGACGTATTTCATTTTATGAGTTCATATTGTTGGTTCATTTTGAACCAAAATCAGGCGCCAGCCTTTATTTAATAAAAATGACCATCTAGGTGACATGAATATCCTTTGCATAAGGAAGGATATATGCAAGATGTTTCTTAATAGCGGTGTAGTGGTAGATATTGTATCATGTTTTTATAGTATTTCTTTAGTCCTTGGTGTGACAGTGGCTAAAAATCATTTATAATCTGAACCATCATTTAGGATTCTAAAAATGTATGTCTTGAGTAAAATGAATAGCTATTACTATTAAAGAAAAAAACCACTAAGTGAATAAATGACCTACTTTCTATTGTACCCGCCTGGCAATTTCCAATGCCCTCCACTGTAAATATTAACATAAAGCCCTTCATTTTACTTTTCTGCCTTGTACAGTATTAGTTGAACAAGTAATTCTGTATGAAATGATGGACAGTTAGCATGCTTTAATTAAGCTTAAGATGCATATACAGAGAGTATGTTGGATAAAGTAATCTGACAGCTAGATTGCCTATTTTAGGGCATTGCTGTTCAGGGAGGGAAGTATGATGGTCAACCATAGAGCTTCTGATCTCCCGGCAAGTGGGAAGAAAACCACATCTTGAATAGCAAGCCCCTGGACCCCCAAAGTGCATATGAAAAACACCAATTACTTTGTGCACGCCTCCCTGCTGCCAGCAGCTAGGGCATGGACACAGAAACTAGATCCAGACGCTGGGCACTCCCACCTAGGTCACTGAACCTGGGCAGGGGATGCAGCTGGGTGACAGGAGCATCTGGCTTCCAGGAATAGTTATATATGGCCCTGTGTTCTCTCATCATTTTCCAAGCTGGTTCTCCAGCCTTTCTGGCATTTCTGTCAGACTCAATGTTCTAAGTTCAGTGCCTTAATAGCCACTGTTTTCTATTGCTTACAGTGAAGAATCCTGACTAATGCAAGGACATTCAGCGAGAGAGGAAGGAATACAAAGAAAGTACTTCTTAAGGGCTCATATTAGGTAAAATCTTAGTCTTCATATCTTACTAGAACTAACCACCTGCTAAATGGTAATGGAGACTTTATCGCTAATACTGGATAAAGGGACTCCAATGAAGTCCCAAAGGATGTGTTCATCTCTCTGTGTATGAGAAGCTAGGGACCCACCAGTTACCCTCATTCCCAGTCAGAAGCCTAACCTCCAAAGTGGAAAAAGGATGCAGTGCCTTCTGTGATTACAACACCCCACTGTGCTGTAGTTGGGAATTAAGCTGATCTCAAAGGAAGCCTCCAAGGAATGCCAAGGACAAACTTCCACAGTGCTATATCCTATCAGAAACTTAAGTTTAAAAGTACTAAAGAAAAGGATACTTGGAAGGGTAAAGAAAAACCTACTTTGGTCTTAAAAAGTAGCTGATAGTAAAACCAGCCAAGCATCTGCAGCTAACCTCAGAATGAAACAAGCTTCTTCCAGCTACCTGCAGGGTGTGCAATCTGAAACAGCTGTTCATCCTACAGAGGTTAATTACAATGGCAAAAAAAACCCCAAAAAACAACAACAAAAAACCCCACCTCACTGGATGAGCTTACGTGCCTAATGTTAAAAGGAATGTTTATAGCTGAATATGGCTTGGCATTCTGCTTAATTACGTTGTTAAAGGATGCTTTTTTATCAAGAGGGCAGAAAATAAACACCTTAATTCCCTGACCATCCTGGCCATAAACCAAAAGTGTCATTGTATGAATGTGATTACTCTGGCAACAGATATGAACATTGCCCTTCATAAAGAAACACCAATCCGGTGTTTATGAATACCAACCTTGTTACACTTTTTTTTTCCTGTTTTAATGGGCTGTAGGAACCACATTATTATAAACTTTGTCTCGATTACCTATATTAAATCAACTTTGCAGCAGCCAAGCGACTACTGAAAAATAGATTTTTATTTATTTTTCTCCATCTCTCCCAACAAGGCTGTCAGTTCCATAGCTCCGGGTGGTTAGAGACCACATCTGTTTGGCTTACCATTATGTCCCCAAGCCTAGCAGGACACTGCACGCGGTAAACATTCAGGAAATGCTTATTGGATGAATGTGGCCAGTATATGACTTGTATTTACCTTCAAAGCTATACTATTTCTTAAGACTAGCTACCAGTTTATTTAAAGTCATATTGGCCAAAAGGAATTTAAATTTAGCCAGAATAAACTAACAACTGAACTAACATTCAATAGGAAATGAACCCCTATTTTGAAACACCAGAAGATAAAAATGTAGAACACGTGGATGAGAAATAACGAGGCTGGGCGGTAACAGTGTCAGAGAAACAGCAGGTCTGTGGGACTATCCCCTCTGAAAATCTCATTCGTTGTTAAAAGGACTGAATTCTGGTCTCTGAAACCAAGACCCTGAAGAGAACTGACTCTATCATGAAGAGATTTGGGACTCTGGACTCTCTCTGGTAAATCTCACTTCTAGTCAAAAGTGTGGGCTCTCTGGGGTGTGGGGGAAGGTCATGGGTTGGAGTCCCAGCTCTGCCCACCCACTTAGCTGTTTATTTACCAACTTACCTCATCTCTCCAACCCTCTGTATTGTGTTATCGACCTTCCAGGAGTTTGAAAAGGCTATACTAGATAATAGATGTGGAAACACTCTGCACATTGCCGGTGACAAATACTTATTATTCGTTTATTAACATACAGACATAATAAATGCGCCAGCACTAAAGGTAAATCCTGGATTTAAAAGATGAATTCAAGACTTCCTCTGACCTCAAGGAGCCCACTAACCGTAGCCACACCATGAGGTTGTTTCCCGTGCATAAAAGCACACTCCTGCCCCATTCCAACAAGTAAGTGTGTGCTCTGGTTATCAACTAGCACATGTCACCTGACCCCAGAGAAGCTGAGGAGAATAAGCAGAAAAGCTCATTGAGACCTGTCCTGGACTTCTGGTCTAGAAAAGTCCATAACTCTCTACCTGGTGCTTTGTTCCCAAGCACCAAGCACTGACATTTGGAGAGAATGTTTTGGATTATAAGGTGAGGTAAACTTCGATAAATGGCATCATTTATCTATTTTCTTTATGATCTATTTTCTTTAATCCCCTGCTTCTAACCCAAGCTGCAGTTAGAATCACCTGAGGAGCTTTTAAACCATGAACTGCCCTATCCCCAATCCCATACCAATTGAATCAGAACCTCTGGGGAGATGGGGCCTAGGCATCTCAGTTTTAAAAGCTCCCAACGTGATTCTAATAACTAACTAGCATTACAAACCAGTAATTTAATCCACTGGGGCTCCTGTACCACAATCATTTTTGGAAGGAAGGGAGCAAGGGAGAAAGTAAGGAAGGAAAGAAGAAAGCCACAAGTCAGGTAACTAAGAACAACAGCCTGAGAGAAATGATTGCCAGTATTTCCATAGAACTGTAGTTTTCAACGCACTTTCATAAAAATTCTCTCTCCAAATCCTAGCAACCTCTGATGAGGGTGGTTATTATACCAATTTAGAGTGAGGTGACTGAGGCCTGGAAGGTTAAATGACTTTGCCCAGGGTCACAGAACTAGAAAGTGACAGTGCCTGGGCCTGAGAATTCAGGCCCAGCCCTAGAATTGGAAAACATGCCTTGAACTGGATGGAAAATTCATTCACCCAAAGACAAGAGAAGCGGGAGGGTGCTGATCAAAGGCCTTGGGCTCTGAAGTCTAACAGAGAGGGTTCAAATCCCTGATCCCTGGTGTGACAATGAGCAATTTAATAAATGTCTGACTCCTTACCTGTAAGATGGTTTAACACAGAATCTACCTTAGGGATGGTCAGGAGGGTGAAATGAGATCATGCATCTAAATGTTAATTATGATTAATACTGCCTACCTAAAAGAAGAAAAGTTTGCCCACAGAGAGCCATAAACCCTGGAATGACACCATCCCACTTGCCACATGGGGATTAACCTGGACGAGGAATTCAGTCTCACTGTGCCCCAGTTTCTTCCCCCGTGAAGGAACTCCCAGGGCATGACAATAGTTCCTACCTGGAGATTTGTTGCTAGAATTCAGTGAATAAATACAACAGCGAAGGTTAATAAAGTGCTAGCAACCAGCTGGCCTACAGAAAGCTCTCAAACAATGTCATCATCATTATTGTGGTTACACTAAAACCTATCAGCCGGAGTCTCCCCGAAGGCAGATAGGAGGAAGGCAGGGAGGGAACCACAGTCACCTGGCTGGAGTTTTCCGTCCCTGGCTGCAGCCCCCTTCTGGATGAGGTGGGTGATCTGGAGGTAGGGCCCATGCTGGATGATGATCAGTCCTAAGCCCAGGTTGCTCACAGTGAGTTTGGTCTGCTGAGTTTTGCTCAAGTTGTGTATGGATGACTTGACATTGAAGCCGATATTTTTGCCTAACGAAAAGAGGGAGACATTTTTTAATCCTTCACCTAGACAGCAGCATGACAGTGTCACTGGAGTTCTAAAGCCAGATCCCTGGGGCAGTTCCTCAACCTCTCTATTCCTCAGTTTCCTCATCAGCAAAGTGAGGACAGTAAGTGTCTAGCTTGGAGACTTGTTATGAGAATAAATGAGACAGAGGGCTTTGCACAGTGCCTAGCACCTGCTGAGTGCTTAATTAATGTCAGTCATTAGGTATTCACTTGACAAATGTTTCTTGATGCAGGCAGCATGCTAGGAAATAGCAGTTTCTTGCCCTTATGGATCCTTCAGCTTAGCGGAAGAGACAGATACTAATCAGTCACATAAATATATGCTGAATAACAAACTGTAACACGTGCTATGAAGGAAAAATACAGACAGCTCTGAAGAAGACTAACAGGAGGCCAAGGTATCCTGCAGGGAATGCAGTTCAGGCTTCATACAGGAGGCAAAATTTGAATTGAGGTCAAAAAGACCAACAGGAAATCTTTAGACAAAGGAGGGTAGGAGGGAGCAGATTGGATCAAGGCTCTGAGACAGGAAAGAACAGAGAGATGCACTGGAGCACTCATGAGGAGCAAAGTCACAGCAGACCTGGGTGGCCTCATGGGCTTACCTCACTGGAAAAGCTTAGGAGCAATTTAAGCAGGACTCCGTAACATTTGCATTGTCTTAAAACAAAACAAATGAACCCTGCTGGCTGCCGTGCATGCCCTGTAGGATCCAGAGGAAGTGGGAAGTCAACGTCTTCCCCTAGTCACCCAAGCATGCCATGGTGACGTCAGTGAAATTAGAAGTAAAAGATCATTTGGGAGGAAAATCTGGGAACATGGGTGGTGGTGGAGGCGTGCTGAAGTATGTTTTCTACAGAACTGATTCTCACAAGAAAAGTTTCAAAGACTATCGAGTAATTTATTTCTTTGTTTTAATGTTTTATTTATTTCTGACAGAGACAGAGAGAGAGAGAGAGAGGCAGGCAGCGTGAGCAGAGGAGGATCAGAGAAAGAGGGAGACACAGAATCTGAAGCAGGCTCCAGGCTCTGAGCTGTCAGCACAGAGCCGGATGCAGGACTCAAACCTACCAACTAGGGGATCATGACCTGAGCTGAAGTCGGACACTCAACTGACTGAGCCACCCAGGCACCCCGACTATCGACTGATATAAAACAAGTTATTTTCCCAAGAGAAAGCTTCTCAGAAGACTCAATTTCAGTACACAGGAAGCTTCTGGGGACATTTGTTTTCAGCAGCTTTTCCTGAAGTACAAGTGACAAGCCTTTGCCAAATCCATGTGACTGTGGAGTTGGGCGGGGGGGGGGGGGGAGCCCAAGAGGCCTGCTGAGGGAGGGGTGCCTCCTGTTCCCCCACCCCCAGGTTCATGACGCTTCCCTCTACGTAAGTGTACTTGCTCTCTCAAAGCTCACCTTTCCCCAAACCACAGAGACACTCTAGAAAGTAAAGTAACCCAGTATAAAGAAGGTACCACATTCAGAGACTTTTCGGGATTCTAGGAGCCACTTGGAGTGGGTCGGACCTTTCTTCAGCCTCTAGCTCCTGAGCATACAGAGAAGTGGCATCTCAGGCAAGGTCTGAGTTCCAACCTCAGCTTGCCACTTAAGTGTGCTTATATTAAAATAATCTATGAGGCCCAGTCTCAAAAGACAGCAGGGTTAAGGGAAAGAAGGCAGACTCAAAGGACTCCGTACCATACGATTCCACTTTTATGACACTCTCTGTGGAAAGGGCAAAACTACAGGAAACAGTTCAGGAGTGTCAGGCACTGAAGTGCAGGCTGGTGGCAAAGGAGAGCAAAGTAATCTGGGGAGGGTAGGAACTTCCACATCTTGATGGTGGTGGCGGGTATACGTGGGTATTCATTCACTGAGAGCTATAGACTAAAAATGGGGGGGGGAAGGGAGGCTCTTACTGTATGTAAATTATAGTTTGGTAAGCAAATGATGCCGGGGGCTACCTCCCAGGCCGAGTGTGACGCTCCCATTTTACAGGGGAGGCAAAGTGATGAAGGCTCTGTCTCAGGGCGTCACCCGCTCCCCGCTCCCCAGTTACCTTTTCTGCTTTTGTCTGGGGCCTTCTCCATGGCCCCAGGAGGGCCGGCCGCTCAAGAGGGCCTCCCGGAGCCGAAGCTGGAGTGGGTCCAACTCCCAACTGTTTCGAACCCGCGAGAAGCCGCGCATTGCGGGCTGACCGCGGACGACTGGGGACCCCGGGCGGCGAGGAGACTTCCGGCGCTGCCCCTCGGGATGGACGCCAGGGGGCAGACGTGGGGCATCCCTACGGTCACAAGGCCTCAGTGGACCCGGAAAAAGGAGTGAGTGAAAATTTTGGCGGAGAGCAAACTTGTTCAGGGCGTAGCACAGTGTCTCACGCACACAGGGTTCATTATCCCTTCTTGGAAAACAGCTGAAGTGGGGAAGATGGAGGAAGCACAAAGGCGGGTGTGGCAAAGGTGTGAAATTGTGGGGCCGAGGCGGACCCCACCTAGAAGACCATAGAAGAGCACAGAATCCCCTGCTGAGCTCCCAGTAATGGTATTTTTAAATATTGTTGCATCAACAGTTCCAATTGTTTTGGAACTGCACTGTTTTCGTGGATGTTTTGAATGAGAAAAGGGGCCAAGGGTGGCTGGGGGGGGGGGGGGGGGAATGAGTCACGATTAGGAGAGGAAGTAATTCTTCCTTCTTTTTTCCAAAATAATCTTTCCTCCCACACACACATTCACTCATAGGACAAATATTTACTGGAAGCCCGCTCTGTGGTTCGTGCTGATGCTGGGGACACAACAGTTGGTGAAACAAACAAGGGCCCTCTCCTTTTGGAACTTAGATTTTAAAAGCAGATGAAATGGACAATTTGAGAAAACTGTAAAATACCAAAATATATTCTAGAAGAAATAGAAAACAACGTGATGAGGTAGGTCCTGTCCTCATCTCCACTCCGAGGAAACAGAGGAGGTAAGCACCTTACATCCATGCCTTCAATAGTTATCAAGCACTTAATAGGTGTCAGGCACTGTGCAAAGACTTGCATGGTAAACCCAGTTTTTGTGGTTTTACCCAGACAGTAAACTAGGGCTGATTTTCATTTGATAAATCCTGTCTTGCAGGGGTTGAGACAAAGGGAAAGAAAAGGCATCCATTTTCTAACTCTCAACCTCAAGGAGTCTCCAGCAGGTGGCTTCTTGTGATCTATCACCAGTTTCCTCCTCCAAACAGTCTGGCAAGGTGTCTATGCAGACACCAAATTAATTTTGTCATAAAATGCATCCTTTTCCTCTGTTTTCCTATTAGTAAGGGGACGGTGAGAGTTTGTGGGACTAAAGCACGTCAACATCGGAAGTTTGGTGAGAGGAGCCTATCAGCAGCTGGCTGATAGGGGGGTCCATCTGCCTTTCCTCCATCTCTGGCTGAAAATTCTCTTCAGAGCAGATGCCAAGATCACACCGATGGGTGGAATTGCAGGATACAAACGGTTGTGGATGCCGTCCTGTACTGCCCAGATCCCCCTTCAGGACTGAAGGATTTATTCGTGCCCCTCCACCCCACCTATGCTTCTAGCTGAGAACCTTGCCCAAGATTACACCTTCCCAGGGCAGCTGGCATCCAGTGACTGGTCACTGTAGGGTAAAAATCTGGCTCCTTCAGCCCAGCCCGAGCAACCCTGGAGGGCAATCCCAGCCCCAGAGCTCCTGTGTGGTCTGAAGTCCTGTGTCTGTGGTGCCACCTGACATCTCCCTTTGCCACGTGCTGCTTCCCCTTCCAACCTTCATGGGTGTGGGTTCCAAGAGTACTCCCCAATAAACTCCCTGCAGCTCGAGTGTTTCCTAGAGAGCCCACGCAGCCTGCAGCAGCTAGCACCAGGATGGTCTGCAAGAGTAGATGCTAAGATGGAATTTTGGAGCTGGGTGACCCCGCTTTCCAGGTGAAAATGAGGGCCCTAGCCCCTCAGTAGGGGAGGTATATACATCACCTCGGGCACAGGGAAGCACTAAGATTGTTCCATTTTTCAGCCTGAGGAATACATGGCAACCAATGGCTCAGACTCTTCAGGGATGAAGGTCTGAGCCACCCCACCACATAAACCACCTAGACCACCAGAGGTGCGAGCAGAAGGTGAGAGGAATCTAGGATGGGCAGGAGAGGAAGGAGGTGATGAGTGTGTCAGTTATGCCTGGAGATGAACTGCAGCAACAATGGGAGCTGGGGTTTGTTCTGCTAACCTTCCTCTTATAAGATTCCCACAGGAAAAGATGCCCACCAGGGTCCTGCTCTCAGAATGGAAAAGAAGCAGGTTGATCTGCATAGCACAATAGGTGCACTATGGCAAATGTTGCCCTGTGCTACCTAGTCCTCCTGAAGACTGAAGGACTTAGTCCCCAGCTCCTGGGAAGGTTATAGGTTCATGGATCTCAACCATCAGCCCACTCAAGGAATTGTCTTTGGCTGAAGAGCAGCCATACCTGAAGTCATTCCTGAGGTAGCTAAAATCCAATATGCTTGGTCCCTTTACCCCAACTCTGAGCAGCCACCCCAGCTTCAGAATTGCTCACGGGGTCCGCCAAAGCCTCCAGTGACCAAATCACAGTCAAACTGCTCCCTCTGCCTTTTTTCCCTCCCCGGGAGGAGTTGCTCCTGAGTGCACTCCCTAATAAACTCCCCACATGCTAATCCATAATCTCTGATTGGAGTCCGCTCCAGCGGAACCCAATCCGTGAGACAAAAGGAGAGTTGAGCCCAAGGCACAAACTGTTAACCTCTGGATTTAGTTCTTTTGCCTTATCTAATCCCAGAACCCCCAAATGCACGTATATGGTGCATCCACCACACTCTTGGCCTTTGTGGTCAACTTGACCCCCTGGGGAAGCAGTGTGTTCTTCATCCTGTCAGGCCAAAGATACTCCTTTGTGATCACACAGTTCCCTCCAAAGCTTTCGCCAAGGTCCCACCTGGATTCAGCCTCTGCTGGGCCAAGGCCTACCATCCATCATGATAAAGCACACTGTGTTCACAGTCCCTTAACAGCCGCAGAACGGCTATTTATGACTTCGGGCTGCCAGCATAGATCCCTTCCGGGGGCCCTCTGGGTCCCCAAGGATTTTCTGCTTTAAGGATCCTTGTGGCTCATCTCTCTCTGAATGGAACAGCCCCAGCTGCTTTGCTTAAGAGTGAGGAGATGGGGAGGTTCTATCACTGAAGCAGAATGTCTGACTTTCCCAAGTTCAAGTCAGTAGAAGGGAGGGGACTAGAATACAGTTCTGTATCCTTTTTGCTCCATCACACCACCTTTCCTGAACCCTAGGGTTTACCTCTACTAAAATCTAGACTAGGGGGTGGAGGGGCTCAGTCGATTAAGCATCTGACTTTGGCTCAGCCTTGCAATGGGCTCTCTGCTATCAGTACAGAGTCCATTTCAGATCCTTAGCCCACTCTCTCTCTGCCCCTACCCAACTCGTGCACACATGTGCTCTCTCTCTCTCTCTCCTAAAAATAAAAACATTTAATAAAAAATGAACTAAATTAAATTAAATGTAGACTGGGATATAAATGAGGAGGGAACTGATCTGTCCTGTAGATCTCAGACAGACCTGGGACTTTGAAATACCAGGTATGTGGAAGTCAAGAATGAGATATGGGACTAAAATCAGGATTAACGGAAAATCTGTAAACAGAGTATTTAGTCCCTGCCCATCTGGGTGGTAAGAAGGAATGGGAAGGTGACTTGTGTGAAGTGATATGTGGCCATGAATCTGGTGAAAATTTTCTCAATTTTTTTTTTAACTCCAAATTGTTTTGTTTTCTTTATAGTTGACATATATTAGTTTCAGGTGTACAAGATAGTGATTCAACATTCATATATGTTATGAAATGATCACCATGATAAGTCTAGTTACCATTATACAGCTTGTTTTCATTCTTTCATCCTAGGTCCAGAACCTTTTGTAGAGGGGCATTCGTAGGAGGGACTGGGAAGTGCTGCCCAGGTAGAAGGAGGAATTTATACTTGTACTTTTTTTAACATAATAATCAAGTGATTATCATACCACTCACAGGCAAACTGTTCCACCATTTCACCTCAGGATTCTCATCAATGCCTAGTAGTGAACATCAGTGGACAATATTTGGGAATTCAGAACTGTATAGTTGGGAGTTTCTTCTATTCCTGGGCAATAGAAACTCTGGACAAGAAGCCAAGAATACGACTCCATCAAACTTCTCTAGTATTAAAAAAAATAAATAAATAAAAAAAGTGAAACCCTCCTGCAGTAATGTGATAGGCATATCTGAATCCCTGGAATATATCAGTCAGCCTGTGCCTATTTCTGTGGCAGAGGAAAACTAAATGGTGTAATAATAATTTAAAAAAAATCCTTCCCCCAGGAGACCAATGTTTGGCCAGGAAAGTCTATAGACTAGCAGTTAAATCCCTTCTTACCCAATGTATGTGGTGACACTGATAACTCTGCAAGTTTTTGCAAGGCTGTTGGATTTGGTGGAATTTGAAACTTGCTGAGTTTTGTGAACATGTAAGCATTCCAAAAATAGAGACAGATGTCACCCTTCTAGGTCTTTCTAGAGATGACCTATGTGGCATTTAAAGAGAAGATGACTGTCCCATCTCCTGTTTGCTGTGTGGGGGACTATCCAGGAAAGAAAGAGCTGGATCCAAAGTTAAGGTTAATGGTGATTTGGTCCAAGAGCCATGAAAAAAAAAGAACCTCCACTAGATAGCAAAATTGCAGATGCTTAAATCATCTGTACTGCCAACAAACTATGCCAATGTCTTGTTTGTTTCTGTTTATCCATCCAAACTATGCCTCTCCTCAGGCCTCAACTCAGTAAATAGTGTCACCAAACATCTGGTTACTCAGGCCAAAACCTTAAGAGTCATTCCTGAGGCCTCATTTTGTTTCAACTCCTCCCCCACGGTCAGTTAGTCCTTTTCCTTGCGTATAAAACACCCAAAGCTGGCTATTTTTTCCATCTTCACTATTCTCATCCTAGCTAAATACATTTCTTTCTCTCCTGGAATACTTTGCCTGTTAACTGGTATCCCTTTCATTCCCGTCCCCACCCCCACCCTTTCCCACCCCCACCGCCAACTACACTACCTTTACGGATTGAATAAGACCTTGTCAGTCTCCTGCGGAAAACCTCTTGTACCTTTCGCTTCCACTTATAACAAAATCCAGACCCTTTACCATGGCTCCCCAAGCCCTACGTCTGGTCTCCGCCTACCTCTCCGTCTTTTCATACTACCTGCCAGCCAGACAGTTCCTCGAACATACCAACCTCTTCCTTGTCCCTTCCCCTAATCCTTTGCACTTGCTTTTCCCCCTCAGTCTGCCCAAATCTTCACAGGTTAGGTCTTTATGGTCGTGATCTCAGTGAACCTTCCCTGACCATCCTAAGCATCACCGCAGCCCTCCTCTTCCCCCGCCATCAGACCGACCTCCATTTAACTCATAAAGCAACACTTGAACTGACCCTTATTTTAAAGATGCGTTTTTAACATTGTTTGCCTCTTCCCCACCAGGACGTAAGCTACCAGAGAGGGGGAACCTTGTCTCGCGAGTCCAGCCCAGTAACCCCACTAGGGGTCGACAGTTATTTCCTAAACGGGGCCGTCCCAGAGCTGAACGACACGGAGGGGCAATGCTAACACAAGGTGACAAGGACTGTAGGGGGGGCCCGGGTCACTTGGCAGAGTCTCCCACCCATCAATCCAGTCTCCCTTTTGAAAGGCTAAAGACTGAGGAGACTTTTGTCACCAGTCATTAACAACGATAACATTATTGGCAAGAAAGCTCAAAGGCGGCGTGGTCTGCCGGAAGAGACCGGGCGAGGGGCAGGGGCCTGGGCCGGAGGCCGGTCCCGCTCCAGGGAAGCGAGACGTGCGGTCCAATTTCTATTGCCGGCGCAGAGGAGCCCAGGGAAGTCGGGAGGGTCGGGGCCGCGGGCCCGGCATGCGAGGCGGGCCGCACAGCCAAGAGAACGAGACCAGGGTCGCGGCGGCCCCGGACCCGGCCTGGCCTCGCCAGCTCCAAGGCTTCGCTTCCGGGTGAGGGGCGGGCGAGTCGAGCAGTTCCGGGGCAGGCGGCGGTTCCGGCTGTGCGGGCCGCGCCGCGGCTGCTGGTCCCGGGCGCGCGGAGGGCGCGAGTGGCGCGCGGGGGCCGAGGGGGCGCGAGGCGGCGGCGCGGGGACTCCGGGCCCCGGCGGCGGCCCATGGGGCGGGAGGCGTGAGGCCGCGGCCTGCCCGGGGCTCGGGGGGTGGGGGGAGCGGGGCGGGGAGATGGATAAACTGACCATCATCTCAGGATGTCTCTTTCTGGCCGCCGATATCTTCGCCATCGCCAGCATCGCCAACCCGGACTGGATCAACACCGGGGAGTCCGCGGGTGAGCGGCGGGCGCGCGGGGCCGGGCGGGGGATTGGCTGAGGGCTGAGGGAGGGGAGGGGAGACCCGGCTGAGGGGAAAACGGGGTGGCGGGTGCGAGGAGGGGGGCGGCCGGGGAAGGGAGGGGGCGGAGAGGCGTCCGGGGCGGCGGGGCCGGAGGCAAGAATGCATGGAGAGGACGCGCGCGCGCTAGCGGGACCCTGGGGCTGAGGGGAGCGGCGCCCCGGGCTGAGCGAAAAGTGGCCGAGGGACGAGGAGACCTGGGCTGGGCTGGCGGGTCCCGGACGGAGAAGGGGGGTGGAGGGGAGACAGTCACGGGACGTGGGGGACCGCGGAGGAACGAGCTTCGTCCTGGATTGGGGGCGGGGGGAGTCCAGGTGGGAGACGGGAAGAAACCGCTTTGGAGAAAACTGAGGTGCATAGGCAGGGATTAGAGACTAGGCGGGGAGCCGGGGTCGGGAGGGAAGTAGCCCGTGGGGCCAGTGCGAGGACCACCCGAAAGCTGCGACTGAGGAGTCCGGTCCGGCCGCGGCCCCCCGAGGGAGGAAGCTGCGGCCGGGCTCGCGGCCCCACCAGGCAGGGTTAATGGTGCTGGGGGAGCTGGTGTGCTGCGCGGGGGTCCCCCTCCCGGGGCCCTCTCCCACCCCCCTCTGCCCGCTTGGCTGTGTTTAAGACGCATGTGGCTTCCGATTTTCCCTTTGAAGTCTGTGTGGTTATAATTTTGCTTTATTTTAGGCCCGGGAGCTATAATAATACTAATAATAAACTTCATTTTATGGAGCATCTTTCATTCCAGCGCATCACAAAAACGCTTTAGAGATCTTAATAGTAGTTACAAAATTAAATAACACATTAGAGTTGCAGGCAGCCCAGCAGCAGCAGCAGTGCCCGCTGTAACACCACCGAGCAGGAGGCAGCAGAGACAAGGTGGTGTCCTCGGGAGAGAAGTAGGCATCTCTCTGAAGGGGATCCCGGTGCAGGATTTTTTCTCAGCTTGGGCCGACACCGCACACACGTCCCTGTACACACTCACACTCACCCAGACCTGTGAGACCAGCCCTTTAATTAACGTAGCAGCTGTCAGGAGAGCTGACTGGAATGAGGGAATGAGCTTGTTTTCGAACTGCTTGTTCTGTGCAGGTGAAGGGAGTGTTGGGGGTTGGGCCTGTCAGACTCCCTCCGTGAATAATTTGTTATAAAAATGTATCACTATGCTGTCAAAGTTGCTTCTTAAGTATTACTTACGTTCTGTATTTATCCTGCAGTATATTTAGCTCTTTAAAAAAAAGCTGTAGCTGGGACATTTGTTGCTCTCTCCTCCCTCCCTTCTCTCCTCCATCTAGATCTAGTAACACAAAATCATGCTGTCAGATTTACGGGTTATTAAAATAACACACTAAAAAATTCTCCTTTTCTTGCCTCTACAGTCTCAGCAGAGCTCTTAATGGTAAAACATGCATGATGATTATGATGTGATTGAGCTGTTAGCTAATGCTACTGTGGTAAATTTGCAATATATAAATGTATCAAATCAACACGTTTTATCCCTTACGTATTATAAGATATATGGATTATATCTCAGTTTTTGTAAACTTGTAAGGTGTGTAAGAAACTATAGGATGGTTTGGAATTTGGTGAAACTATATAGGCTGTTTCTGAAAAGGTTAGGAGTGTCAGTTTGTACAGTTACATGTGTGACATCCACTTCATGACCTGTTGTTTTTATTCTAATTATATGTGCAGTGACTCCTTTTATGAGACTTTATTTGGGGCTTTTTATACTTAGGGCCCAAGAGGTTTTGCTGTTCTAGCAGAGATGATGCTTTTTGCAAAGTGCTTTTAGGTGAAGCCCAATGTAAAAAGCAGACTAAACATCCGTGGGAAAGATACACAGTTGGTCCTTAAATGACATGGTTTTGAGCTGCTTTAGTCTACTTATACATGGACTTTTTTCTTTTTTTCTTTTTTATAAATACAGTACTGTAAACGTATTTTCTTTTATGGTTATCTTAACATTTTCTTTTCTCTAGCCTACTTCATTCTAAGAATACAGTATATAATGCATATAACCTACAAAACACGTGTTGATCAGCTATTTATGTTATTGGCAAGGCTTCCAGTCGACAGGCTATTAGTAGTTAAGTTTTGGGGGAGTCAAAAAATTATGCATGGATTTTCAACTGTGCAGGATGGGAGTAACTCCTTCATAACAGTAGGCAAAGTCTTCAGCTGTGAGTTGCTGCAGATGGGAGGGACAGAAGTCCACTGATTGAAGGAAGTAAAAAATGTTTGAAATAGGTAAATAGTTGCAGAGAAAGCATGCCAACCAGTGACATAGGATTGTCTGCCGTCGTGGAAGCCTCATTGAAGTCGGTGGTCCAGAACATTCGGTGTGATCGGCCGCCTGCCTTGTTGACCTTCTCTGGTAGTGCTCAACTGCTTTGATACCAGTACCTGTTGAAGACCAACAGAATGTTTCCTTCGAGATTGGAGTTTGCCAACGAAATGCAACAAAGTGACAAAGGAGCAAAAGTGTATAACTGTTAGCCAAAATGTCGTTGTAATGATGGCTTATGGATTCTCAGCTGGATAAAAAGTAAAAGTGAATAAAGAAAAGAGTTGATAGTATATGGTCAGTGGAATCGCGGGCCCAATAGAATTGAAGGACTGACTGGGAGTGATTGATGCAGCAAAGTGGAAAGGCAGGAAATTGTGGGCACAAGGTGCAGAGTGAGAGTGGGGATGCGTGGCTAAAATGGGATGGGGGAGGTGATTTTTCTCCTAACAGTTTCCCTTGCCATCTCACCCTTCAATTAAATATTTTTGTAGCTTGAAACAGGATAATAGGAGATACTAGTAACAGGAAATTTTTTTTCAAAATCATATCTAACCTCTGTTATAAATAAATAAATCCTATGTATTACCTTAGATAGTACCCCCCCCCCCCAAACTTAAATGGGATGTTCCTTTGTTGACTCTTGAGCTCTTGCATTGTGGTAAGATGCACCTGAGCTTTGCCTGAGAGTTTGTACACTCAATGTACACTTTTATCTGAGCAGACAGATCTAGTCTTGAGGGGTTTTTTTGGTTTTGGTTTTTTTTAATTCTGGACAGAATTCCACCTTCCAAATCAATGAAACATTTCCAGGAAGTTTGAATAAGATTGCAGAGGTGACAGGACGAGCTTTATTCTGAGATCTGCACAGAAGTGACAGTGACAGCCTAGCACCACACGGTTATTGTGTTGGTTCCCTTCAGTGCATTAAATACAGCATATTTTGACTGTGATGTTTTTACTGCAGTTTTTTTAAGTGGGCAAAATATATTGTGAAAGTTGAATCCTGGTGCTGAAAGGTTTTCAGATGTAATTTGAAAACCACTGCCATGAACTAGTACAGAAAATTTCAGGATCAAATCGAAACGTCATCATTTATGGTCTTTGATTTGGGGCAAGTTACTTAGTGTCTCTCTTTACAATTCTCTGTAAAATATGGATATTAGTAGTACCTACCTCATTGGATTATTATAATTGATTTAATCTACATAATCTACATAAAGCACTAGAAAGTGCCTAACACACGATAAGTGCTCGTTAGTTTAGATATTGTTGTATTGCTGTTCTCATTTCTAATAACATGATGTTTTTGTTTTTAATTAAAGCTCAGAACTTAACTACTGTGAGACTGGCACATTTTCTTGGATATAAGGCAATATTGCGAATAGTATGGTCAGGGGTGCCTGGGTGGCTCAGTCAGTTAAGCATCCAACTTCGGCTCAGGTCATGATCTCATGGTTTGTGGGTTCATCGCACTCTGTGCTGACAACTAAGAGCCTGGAGCTTGCTCGAGATTCTGTGTCTCCCTCTCTCTCAGTCCCTCCCCCACTCATGTTCTGTCTCTCAAAAATAATAAATAAAAATGTTAAACAAAAATTTAAAAATCATATGGCCAGGCTTAGCACAAGTCAAATTCGTCCTCCCTCTTGGCATTTCTGCATCACGCCTTTACTGTTCTTCATTTAGTCTTTCATCACCATATACTAGTCTCTCTACTCCTCAGTTTCTACTTGAACTACCACAGAAGGAAATGAAATAATCCAAAAACAATAAATAACTGAATAGGATAATTTCCTAATATCCTGACTACTAAACTGTACTATCATAACGTTATGGACCATGCTTCATACTGACAGAATTGTTAGTTTGTTTTTATTGTATTGGTGCAAATACAGAGAAAGTACATTCCTTCTGTTGCTGTCTGTGTGTGGTAATATGTCCTGAGCTTGTTCTGATAGCCTGTAGGTTCTGCACAAACTTTTGAATACAAAATGAAATAGGTATGAAGGAAGTACATGGTGGGGAGGATACTTCAGTAAGGACCCTTAGTGTTTTCTATTAATAAAAAATACTGAATGGCAGTTGAATATCATTGCAAAATTGCACAATTGTATGCTGCAATCAAATTTCTTCTGGTTACTGGGACTTATAGCAATATCTTTCATCTTATATAGTACTTTATAGATTTTGAAGCAACTTAACATCCATGACTTGATTCCTTGGGTTTTTTATATTCAGCCAATGTAGAATAGTCATTTCTACATCTTTTCCCACATGTCAATGCTTTGGACATGAGATTTGGGTTTCAGTGTTGCAGACTCCCGTCAAGAAAACCCTTCATTGAAGTATTACCTGTATCTTATGCACACCTTTTTTTACTTAATAAGATTAAATTTTTATTTTAATGTTTATTTTTGAGAGAGAGAGAGCACAAGCAGGGGAGAGGGAGAGGGAGAGAGAGAGAGAGAGAGATACAGACAGTGAAACAGGCTCCAGGCTCTGAGCTGTCAGCACAGAGGCTGACAAGGGGTTCAAACTCACTGAACTGCAAGATCGTGCCCTGAGCAGAACTTGAACGTTCAGACTACTGAGCCACCCAGGCACCCCAACAAGATTAAAATTCTTAAGTGGCTGAAGTTCTTGCGAGATCACAGAAGAGGGAAAGA